CTTGAGTCCATCAATTTTATTTTTGCAGCTACCAATATGTATCCGATAATGGGATTCTGCTTAATTACATTTTGCTTTTCTGATTATTTGTTCATGCCCTTTTCTCTCAGGGTGAGAAAGTCTCTTAGAACGCACGTTGGGGACCTCGATGTTGGAGCAGTTGCATGTGGTTTGGGCCGTGCAATTGGTAATAAGGTAACAGATTATTGAACAAAATCATTTCTCATTATTGATACATTAAAAATGTTCATTGTGAATATACTGCTATTCAGCTAAATTCATGCCTTACACTATAATGTCCAAAAGATTGTCATTGTGCAAATTAATCGTTATTGTCCCAATCATCTGATCATGCTTAAATTTCATCAATATTGTGGGTTTCATCAATATGATGGGATAACTTCACATGCAGGGAGGCGTAGGTTTGAGGTTGAGAGTATTTGATCGGATAATGTGTTTCGTAAATTGTCACTTTGCAGCACATTTGGAAGCCGTTAATCGCAGGAACGCTGATTTTAATCATATATTTCGAACAATGACTTTCATTCGCTCGTCTAACCTTCTTCAACATGCTGCCGGTATGCTGCCATACCTGTTTTTGTCTTGCTCTCTTGTCTTGTCCACATATTTATTCTGGCTGCTTTATTCTTCTGGCTTCCCATGGATCCTTTCTATTGCAGCTGGTGTCTCGTCTTCTACACAGATGCTTCGCGGTGCAAATGTGCGTATACTATAATTTTGAACTAAGTTAGACATTTTAGTTTCATTCTCTCAATTTGAGTACGGATGGTCCTTTCTGAATAGGCTGTACCAATTAATCCCGAGGAAGGGAAGATTGATCTTGCTGAAGCTGATATGGTCATATTCACTGGTGATTTAAATTATCGACTTTTTGGCATAACTTATGATGAAGCAAGGGATTTTGTTTCCCAAAGATGCTTTGATTGGCTTCGAGAGAAAGATCAGCTGAGGGCAGAAATGAAAGCTGGTAAAGTTTTCCAAGGAATGCGAGAGGCGCTCATCAGATTTCCTCCAACATATAAGTTTGAAAAGGGAAAGATAGGTTTAGGAGGTAATATTAAATCATTCATAACATAATATTAGATTTAAGTAACCTATTTGAAGTACTAAATACTAAAATAATTGCTTATGTTTAGGCTATGATTCGGGTGAGAAGAAGCGGATTCCAGCTTGGTGTGATAGAGTTCTATATCGAGATAATCGAGGAACTCAAACAGAAGGATGCAGCATAGAGTGCCCTGTAGTTGCTTCCATAATACAGTATGTGCCATGGTTATTTTTTGGGTTTGCGTTTTTTTATCTTGTTTTTACACCTTCCATTCTACACTATATCACAGATACGATGCTCGCATGGATGTGACTGAGAGTGATCATAAACCCGTACGCTGCAAGTTAAATGTGAGCATTGCCCATGTGGACAGATCAGTGAGGAGACAAGAGTTCGGAAAAATACTCAAGTCCAATGATGAAATCAGGGCCTCCTTTGAAGCACTACGCTTCGTGCCAGAAACTAGTGTTGATAAAGATCAAATAGTACTCCAGAACCAAGACAATTACAGTTTGAAGATCACCAACAAAAGTGGGGAAGACTTGGCATTTTTCCAAATCATGTGTGAAGGTCAGTCCATCATAAAGGAGGATGCAACAGCGTCAGATTCTCGCCCCAGAGGTTCACTCGGTTTCCCTCGTTGGCTTGAGGTAGTTTCTGATTCCTTATTGCAAGAATTTGAGTCAATATTAAGCCTACTTAAAGCTATGAATTTACAAGTTCCATGTCAATATTAAGCCTACTTTTCTTTATACTAAATTCAATCAATCTTTTTGATTTAGGTCACACCTGCAGCTGGCATGATCAAAGCTGATGAAGTTGTGGAGATATCTGTACGTCACGAAGAGAACCATAAACTGGAAGAGCTTGTTGATGGGATTCCACAAAGTTGGTGGTCAGAAGACACTGGAGATAAGGAAGTGATTTTGCTCGTGATGGTAAAGGGCGGTTGCTCCACCGAAACAAAAACTCATCGAGTAAGAGTTCGGCATCGCTTCTCGGGAACCTCAGCTCGTGTTGCTCAGAAAGGTAGTACTTCGAAAAGACACCAAGGAAGTTTCAACCACGGTTCTGCACTTTGACATGCAAACAATTCTTCTGAATTAGCATGAATTTTCTTGCCAATACTCTTGAACTACTATCCATTGGATGCTAAACCATCGAACACACACCTTTAACTGACTGCAGTAGATAGTTCCTTCGTGTAAATACTCGTGGACTATTCGTGTCTTGAATTTTGGTATAGGATTCAAATTTTTGCCATTTTTTGTAATGATTAGTGCTGGTAACCTTTTTCTCCTTTTAACTCTTTTCAATTGTTTGATTGAAAGTTGAAATTTTTGTGTCTTAAGGCACGTTATATTTAGTAAGCGATTTTTCATTCAAAGAAAGAAAGCAGTTGAAAATACTTGATTGCAAATCTTCTTTGCAACTCCAAGTCCCATCTAATGCCATATAACTTCTAGGGATATAGTTATATGTGTTTTATAATTTCTTCTTGCATTGCATGAATATTGAGAATCTTTCTTTTTCTTCAGAAAATTGAAAAGTTTGATACCAAAATTGTCAAGAAACATAGGTTGAAGACAATTGCTACAATACGTATAGATATGGGACTACCTTAGCAATTTTCCCTCATATTATCAGTATGGTAAATCCATGGCACATTTGAGGCATTATGGGCATGTTGTCACGACATATTAATAAAAGGGTATATGGTCCACTATGGGACATTAGCGAATTTGGGTGAGGGATCAAGTTCTGTACCTAGCAAATTACCCCTATGTGGCCAGATGAGATTGCCATAGACTGTGTATTTTGTCCATGCTACTTTTTCTATTGCAATCCGAAGTCTTATGCATACTAATGTCGAACTTGTTGACTGTGAGTATAATACTAGTCTGGGGCATTGTGCTTGGTGTGGGATATCCATGTCAAGTACTCGGATATTTCTTTCTTCATTAATATTATTATATCTTCTTCTTCTATTTATTAAAAGTGGCTATGTAACGGAATTTATTTATTTTTTTAACGGAAAAACTAACGGAATTTGTTGTTTTAACGGACTATGTAACGGAATTTCTTGTTTTAAACAGGCAGCTGCATCTTCTTTCAGTATTTGTATCATAACTTTGTATTCTGATGTCCGATTGCGGCGATTCAAAATGCGTTGGAAAGCTAACTCATCTGGCTACAACTTTGATTCAGACATCATTCTCTAATTCGATCACTTTCTATGCCAAAAATAGGTCTCAATATGAGACTAAAATATCGAAACATAACTTTTCAGATGGAAATTGATTTGTGATCATTTTTTGACTAAATTTGATTCCATTGATGTCTTCCTTTTATCCATTGACTCCGAGCACTCTCAAATCTTCATCGTGAGGTTCGGCACAACTTTTAAGTATTTACATTTTAGTCCCCGAACTTTGGATCCCTTACAATTTAGCTCTTTCTCCAAATTTGTCAACTTTTGCTTTCCTCTTGACATCTTCCTTTATCCAATTGACTCCGAGCACTCTCAAATCTTCATCGTGAGATTCGGCACAACTTTTAAGTATTTACATTTTAGTCCCCGAACTTTGGATCCCTTACAATTTAGCAATTTCTCTAAATTTGTCAACTTTTGCTTATTTTCTTCGATCTCACCAACTTACATCACATCACAACATCAATATCACACATCTAATTATTTATCAATTATATAAACATTACATCATTCATTATTTAATTAACCAAAAAGATTACATCTTTATTAATAACAAATTAATTATTAAACAAAACTATTAAATATAAACTAGGCAAACGTGCATTGCACGTTGCTTACACCTAATAAATCTTAAAAGTGCCAATACAAGGCTTGAAGGTCAATCTTGCAACCACTTTACCAACTAAAATAAATGCTAATCACTTTACTTTATCTCCCAACATTCTTTATTCCTCAAACCTCAGTAATTAGCCTTTATTAATTCTAGTATAGAAAGGTATAGGGTAGAAGATTACTTGTACTTGCACTTATTCAAGGGACAAATTCATAGTTCAGGATTCAAACCCTTGACGCAACAGTCTCAAACAAATGCCCAGGCAGGACAGGTGGGAGCCTTCAAGGATGCGGCTCATTTTTTTTTTTTTTTAAGTATAGAAGGATTTATCATTATCATTAAATACATGTCCAGGAACATTTGATGACAACGCTAGCAGCAGAAACGTAGTACAATGACGTATGAATGTGTAGACAAGATTTTGACATCATCAATTGCTATATTTAGAACAGATTATGAGCCCCCTAAAGTCAGCTTAAAATTTCTAGCTATAAGCATAAAAGTAATGTTTTTTCATGACAGATAAATAAGCAAATACTATTAGACTATTTTTGTATAGGTACAAAAAAAATTGTGAATCGAGGTAGTAAGAGATGTTTGCGAAGGTTTCGCTATGAAGAAAAGTAAGTTGAAAACTAAATTTGAATAAATTATTACATCTTTTCTGGAAGACAAAAAGCGGCCTTAATCTTATATAAGATACCAATAGAGGCGAACTCGTTTCTTTATTTGGTGTACCTACTTGGAAACTTTCTAATTTTCTATGTTTCATTTATGAAAATTGCAAAAAACAAATAGATACTCCCTAATTAAGAATCTGAACCATGATAGTAACCTCTAAACCAAGAATTGGATCCCAAACATTACCAGATGAACCTTTTCTGCAGCATCCATTTCAAGATCAAGTGCAGAATAAATCTAATCAATTGGAAAAGTAGAACTTCATGATATATAGATAGCGTTAGAACAACTTATATTCGCATATATGATCGTTTTCAAATACAGGTAATAACAGTTACAAATTCGAGCCATCTGCACATACTGATATCACAATGTATCCATTAGCAGAATCCTAAATAGATTTCCTGGGATTAAATATGACTATATTATGATAATCTCTCTGCTTGTTGAACTGAGGGGACAGTCAAAATCGCCATCCTATACAAAGTACCTATACTGGCTAGTGTTGAGGATGGCAAATATAATCCAACATCAGCAACTCTACAGAGCATAGATATTAGAACAGCAGTCTAGGAGCTCTTCTTTAAGTGCATATTTGTCCCTAAACAGCATACATTCTCTTATATCGTTCACTGTACATTTCTGGATCTGATGCCATGGACATTGAAAATGAACGGGAGAGGGTGCTGTTTTTCCTTATGTTTCTCATCCTTGAATCTTCCAATCTATGCCGAACTACACAATAGCACATTGAGCCAATTGTAGTCAGCATTATTGTACCTCCAATTACAGTTGCATATATGGCAAGCCACCTTTCATGAGATCCCACTACGATATAGGTGAGAGAAATAAAAGCAATCGAAATGAAGAGGCAAGCAGACCACATGAGCTTGTTAATCACAAACATAAGTTGTTTCTTTGCCTTCTGTTCTATCACAACCACTGATGTCTGTACTACGACAACCGCTAGTGAGATGAATAAAGCAAAGCTATCAAATAGAAAGAAGATTATGAAAGCTGCACTTTTTGCAATGTGGGCTTGCCCCAAAGAATACCCTTCTGTTTGCTTCTCCACGTATTGGCCAGGTACAGTGAATATTGCAGCAAAAGCGACAGTAGCAATAAGGACAGCAACGACAGTAGCAGAATTGATTGCATTATTAAGGCCCTCAATGTGAAGCTTTTTCACTTTTTTTGCAATTTTCCGCACCCGGAAGCCCGTCTGACGGCTCTGTTGGAGTTGGGACTGGACGTCGTGCTTTATATCACTAACAGTCTGTTTGAGTTGTTTTGCTGCACTTTGGGGTTTCCCATGATCTTTAGAATGGACAGCTCCAACTTCCCTTAAAATGGCTGCAATTTCTGCAGTTCCAAACTTCTCAGCAATGTCAAGAGGCGTCTCTCCAGCACTATTAGTCGCATTCACATCAATACCCTCAGCAGATAATAGACATTGTACCATCTGCCATAGCATTGAACCAATTTCAGTAATAGGACTTCAATTATTCTCCATTTAAATATGGTGATGCCATGTTATTGACAAAACTCTCTTTCATGGGCAATTCAAGTAGAGTTCACAATATGAGCAGTGGAAATTTTGGCCTTGGAAATAAAACATCGTATTATTTGAGAGAAATATTTTAGTAAATCACCACAAACTTCACCTTGAGAGTTAGTACTATCAGTACCAGGTACCCCTGCCTGATGCATCAATTGTACATGGTTTTTACCCCTATATGAACACTGTGAGCCCTTGTGCAGGTCATGCTATAATGAAAGTAAGTTCATAACAAAGACAAACCTGTGTTCGGCCCTTTTTTGTTGCTATATGTAGTGCAGTATTTCCCTTGTTATCTTCCAATCCCAGTACAGAGGGATCGGGTTTTATTAACTCTGTCACGATCTCCACATTTTGTCCCTTCACGGCCATATGCAGTGCTGTTTGACCTTTTCTATCAGTCCAAGAGCCTATAGTATGATCCTTGTTTAGTAGGGATTTAACAGCTTCCAAGTGGCCCATTCTTGCTGCTGTATGAAGCACAGTCTTGCCATTATTTTTTGCAATCTTTGCAAGGTTGGAATCAGTATCAAGAAGCAGATTTACTACATCGATGTGACCCTGAGCAGCAGCAGTATGTAAAGCAGTCGAATTTGATGAATCTGTAGTCATGACCAGGTTAGGGAAGAAACGCGAGAGTTCCTTCAGCACATCTGCACCATTTAAAAAATATACTTCAGCAAGATAATAGGTGAAGCAGCATCTAACTCGACATATAACCAGATTTCCAAAATGTGTCTTTTTCTTTATTTTTCCCCACCCTACATAAATCTTAATGCTCACATATGGTTACAGTCGGCAGGGACTCCAAAACTATCCAGGAACTTCACACGAGAACAGGATTGCATAGAAATGTGAAATGGCCGCTTCAATAAGATACATTTTCTAACTAGCTGAAAGATCAGGAAACCAGAGAAAGATTCAAACAACACATGTTTTGACCTTCAAATTATAAGGTAGTAGCTAATATAGTTACATGATCTTTATTAATTCAAGTGATGAGTAAAATTAGTGACTGATGTGGACTAACCCCCAAACTAGCGGCACACGAAGAAACACAATGTCATGGATAATAATGATCAGTGAAATGTTATTAGATTACTATGACTGAAGAGCCAGTGGAATATACAAGATGATAGCATATACTTTTGAAAAACAAAACTCTAGTACAGGAAAATATATAGATAATCAAACAACTTCTCCATAGAAAAAGTAGCACTATATTCTCATGCGAAGCACCAAGAAACTCGATTAATAATAATCTTGAATTTAAATCAGTCCAAGTTATATAAAGAAACTGATAAATGGGCATTGAGATCAAAGACTCACCAATATGACCCTGCTTCGCAGCCACATGGAACGGATCATAGCTATTATTGGCTACAATAGAGGCAGTGTCAACATCAGAATGTCTTAAGAACTCTCCAACAATCAAAGCATGGCCATTTTCAGCTGCAACATATAATGGAGTCTCACCCTCTTGGTTCTTATTGGACAGCAAATCTTTAATTCCATTATTGATATTCTCAAACTTCTGAAAAATTTCTTTCACCTTCCCCAAATTCCCAGCTCGGGCCGCCAGATGAAGTGGTAAATCCCCGCGTTTCCCAGGCGAATCCTTGCTCCTTTTCCTCTCTCCACCAAAACTTATCTGTCTCTCCAATGCTATCCTGAAACTCTTTTGCTTTTCCATTAAACCCCTAAAGCTTTTCTGCTTCTCCATTGCTCCGTTGCGAAAACTTTGTTGTTTTTCCATTGTAGGATTCCGAAAACTACTCTGTTTCTCCATTATCACATATAAATCTTGAAAAAAAAAAATCGAAAAAGCACAGTTCTTAGCAAATGAAAATCCTAGCCCTTTTAATTTTTCAGTAACTAAATTTTTTCGCCATTATCAGATGCAATTGATGACAAAAAAAAAACCCCCTTAAAAGAATCTCGATAACTCTATTCAGATGATTTCTCCTAATCAAAGGAAAATCACCTAATTTACAGATCAAAAATCCCCTGACTTACAAAAATTTGGAACCAAGAACTGGAGTTATTTAATGAGACTCAAATTCAGAATGAAAACTTGAGAAATCCAAGGGTATAATTACCTGGAGTTCTTGTTTTGGCACAAAGGTAAAACTTGGAACTTCAATAATCAGTCCAAAACTCAAAAGACACCACTCTTTCACTGAACCCACAAAAACCCAGGAACTTAAATCAAGAAAACTCAGTAAGTTCTGCCTAAAAGAAGAACCCTCAAAGCTAAAGATGGAGAATTTCTTTGAGAAATAGAGAGCCTCCAAAGAAGATCAGGAACAGAAAACACCACCCACGTGTGGTACAGAATAATCTACTTGGTATAATAATTGTTATAAAAACACAATTATAAATATTATTTTTTGGCTAACAGTAACTTTCATTTGCTACTTTAGCTTTTTGTTGGGTTGTGCATATTATATTGTAGATATTTATTCTTTCTTGAATTAAAAAAAAAAACAAGAATACATAATTATTGCAAATAGCAGCCGCCATGGAAGTGCACAAAAATACATACAAAGGAGGCTGCTGGCATAGGAAAATTCCATTTGTACGGTTGTCAACCTCTCGCATGTTTGAGAGGTTCACATGTTTAAAAAATTTAAAAAGAAAAAAAAAAAAAAAAGTGGATCTTCATGTGAGTGGTTGTCATTCAAGATTGTCAACTTCAATTATACAACTAGCATGACTCGCTGGCATATTGCAATAAGGCAAGGTTAGGTGGGATCCTCCACAGATGATCAAACAAAAGCAGATTCTTTTCTTTTCATTTCAATTGCTATCCACACATTATCCTTGAAATCTCTGTCTAATATTAATTAGAAATCCCATGTTATAATCTCTGCATGAATTCTTGCACAATATCCTCAAAGCATTTTTACTTTTTTTTTTTTCTTAAACTTATTCGACTGGAGATAAGATTTATATGAATGTATTTAACATCTTTGGATAGATGAATTTCTTAAATGAAATGATTAACACACGATCATTATCTTTTCACGAAAAAATTTAAATTTTTGGACAAGAATATTATAAATTAGCGATAATTTCTGAATTTCGAAAATAAAAAAAGTGTATTTAATTAAATAAAATAGGAGCATGTTCTGTGACACATGATTGTACTAAACAGTTTTAGATGGGAGATTGATGATTGATGCATGGCAATTGCCTATGAAAATCAAAGAACTATTTGCTCTTGGAGGTAGCCTTTTGCACTGAAATGGTACCAAAAAAAATTGAATTATTCCTGATGTGGTTCTCACAAGGGTGGGTCTCACGTGGGACCCACCTCAATAAAATAGTAAAAAAAATTACCCCCCTCTCCCCTCCATGAGTGTTTCATGAGGGTTTTGAGAACCCCTTTACACCAAGAATAATTTTAAAAAATTTGTTTAGGCAGGCGTCTTCGGTATAAATTAAAATCTGATTAAAATTGAAAAATTAGTCGTTATTGTTAATTTTTGTTAGACGAGTGAGACCTAATAACGTCTATATTTTCAATTTTAATTTTTACCAAACGAGCACTAAAATCTAAGTAAGTCCATGTTTGATTCATATTCATTAAAAAAATATTTTTTCTTACTTTTTAATCATACATTCTTTAAAAAATCACTATTACAAAAATATATATATTATATCGAAAAAAAGGCCTGAAACAAACCCTTAATAGGGTTACAGAATGTTTTTTTAATTTGGAAAGGAAAGAGTGTGTTTAATTTACTGTTATTAAATCTTTACCATGTCTTTGAAATAATTATTAAGAAAAAAAATTTATAAGTCATTGTTAAGTAATCTAAACTCGATCTTAGAGTAAAATTATTATTATTTCAGACAATATTATATTAAATTTAGTTACGATATCCATCATTTGACAATAACTGCCGACCGTCTGATGGAAGATTCTTTTCAACGGTCAACATGGGCTCCCTAATTAGACAAAAATGTAGTTTTCAATTTGCATATTAAGGCCATGTTTGGCATTCATCTAATTTTAATTCATTTTTCTTTTTCTGCTTATCAATTACATTCTTTCACTAAAATAATATTACACGTAAATTCAAAAAAAATTCTTACTTTTTACCACACATTCTTCAAAAATACTGTTCTAAAATTAATTTTTTTTTTTCAAATAATAGAGCTCAAACAAGGACTAATAGAAATAACATTAAGCCCATGTTTGACACACATTAAAATTTTCATTTTTATTCTTTTACTCATTTTCAACCACACATTCTTCAATAAAATAATATTTTCCATCACAGCAATAACTTCTCATTCTTTTTCAACTACATATTCTCCATCAATCTACTATTCTAAAATACATTCTTCCAAAATAATATCCATCAAACACAATAAATTAATTAATAATTGTAACTTATATTTTAATGAGTCATGCTACACCTACCAAATTTTTTACCAAATCTTTTACACCCCACTCACATTAGGGGGTGGGGGACCACGGGCTAACATTTTTTAAAACACATGGGACCCGCACGTTTGTGAGGGGTTTCAATCAAATTTTTATGAGATTTACAACTTTATCAACCATATATTTCATTAATTTATATCAAAATTTGCCAAAAAAATATTTTTTTTTATCTANTTTTTTTAAAAAAAACTTCCAATTAACTATTTTTTGTTTTCAATTTGTAGTTAATTATTTTTTTTATTTTTCAAGGGGCGGGTTCGGGGCGGGTTCGGGGCGGGGAAAATCTACTTCAAACAAGTCTGTATATGAGAATTGAAATCGGGTTTCATACTTAAAAATTTAAATAGTGATTATAACATCAAATTGAAAATGTATAGATAAAGTAGAAATAACAGAAAAATAAGTGAGGGTTTAATTGTGGGCTTAGTAATCCAAACTCGTATGATCTACGAAAAAATTAAAGGCATAGCATTAGCTGTGACACGTAAAAAATAAAAAAATAAGAATTATTCTACTCTACCAGATTTTGGTTCACAGATTTTGTACAGACTATCTCACATGAGGTGGGTCCCGAGGACCTAACTCATTAAAAAAACCCCCCAAAAATGTTAAAACACCCACCCACTCTATCTCACATGGCTGTGCCAGATCTTTTACAGACCTGGCACAGTAGCACAACTCTTACAATAATAGACGGATATTTGGCCAGAGAATATTATTTTTGGGTCAGAGAGCATAAGTCTGGCACAGCAGCACAACTCAAAAAATAAATATTTTGTATTCGCGTGTAGATGTTATGGTTAATAAATGAGCGTGTACTATACTATTTTGTTTCATAAATAAGTTAATAGATAGAAAGATCTCAAAATTCACCACACCAAGTGTCACACTCATCAAAGGAGTCGTTTCCCAATTGGAATCTTCATATTTCAAGTCAATGGCCCAACTAAATTGTCTGCATGAAGTTTGTCTTGGAATATATTCCGTTCGTGGCCCCTCATTTTTTAAAAATAATTTTTTTTCTCAAATCTACTAAAAATCTGATTTTTATCTCGATCAAGAACGTGTTCAGTAGAGATTAAAATTGAAAAATTAGTCGTTATTGTTGACTTTTATTAGACGAGTGGAATCCAACTATATTTTCAATTTTAATTGGATTTTAAGCACGATCGAACACGCCCCAAATAAGGGCTCAGAGTAAATTTGGTCAAATCACTTTTTATACACACATTTCATAGGATTCAAAATTATTATCCCCTTTTTCACTACTTATTGCAAGAAGGGGGTTGTACTCTAGAGCTTAATTTATAAGAGCATAACTAGGAGGACAATCTCCATCTAATGTCCTTGAATTGGAATATCAATGAATAATTTTTTTCTAATAATTATGAATTTAAGGTTGAGTTTGGTGCATTCTATTAAATCTTATAGCGATTTAGTATAAAATTAGAATCAATAATAGTAGACAGACGTTGTTATCGTGAATAAGGTGGACAATATTCCTTTTTATTTTAGTAAAATAAAATGACATTTATGATTTCAGCAAGAAAACAAAATGTAGAGGTCGGAAAGGATTTTAAGAATTGAGGTTTTTATCTTACAATGTCAACATTACGAAAAGGAGTAGCATAAACTCTTATTTGTTGGTTAATAGTTTTATGCTTATAAAATAAGGGATTTATCGATTTAACATGCCCCATCAAGATACTGACTTATTTGAGCACATCAGTTTTAAAATCATTGTGCGTGCTTGGGTCTTAATGAGATCTAATTGCTTATTTGAGCTTCATGGACATTGATATCATATTAATAAATGTTGTTCCATCTAAAGTATCAATCTTGTTAAAATAAGTAGTACAAACTCGTATATGTTAGTTAATAGTCTTATGTGTATTCAATGTGCGATTTCCCTAAAAAAATTATACAGGATGAAATAAATATTATAAATTGAAACTTGTTTTTACTAACATTCACATACTACTACTCATTATAATACACACCCCAATAGCAACAAAATTGGATAATACACATATTCATAACTCATTTATATATATTTATAATTTAAATTGCCTAATAAACACTTTCCGAATATGCTTTAACCTAAAAGTAGGGAATAAAAATATGTTCCTCGTTGTGAAAAATAACTTGCTCTTTTTTAAAATCATAAAAAGGGATTTAAAAAAATACCATTTTATTAAAATATCTTAGCCCCTCCTTAGTGGGGATTAAAATCAAAATTTTAGTATATTTTGATAAAAGTTAATGAAACGTGTCGTTATAGTTAACATTAATTGATAACTTTGACTTAAATTAAAATCTTGATTTTAATTCCATCGAACAGGGGTTTAATAGTTTTTGTGGCCCACAAACGCACGACTTTCGTTGAAAAAAAAAAATGTAAGAGGAGAAATGTAATTCACGAGGAGCACTTCACCAACACATGTTAGAGGGGACATTCTAATCACAACTACAATTATTTGTTTGCTTGTAAAATTTCCAACTATTGACCTTAGTGGTGACATTAATCATATTGTTAACAGATATTTTTGTAATATTTCAAAACTTTTAATTTTCCTCGTAGTGCAATGCAAGAGTTTGAAAATATAACTAACAAAAAGTAATCAGTCATTCTAACATACGAATAATTTCATATCTTTCGTTGGCTATGCTTAAAATCTTCCTTTGACTTGCTCTTCGAAAAAGTTAATATTATTTCAATAAAATGGTAAATCTGAAAATTATATTCGACAAAAAAAATAACTTTTACTTTTTTCAGCTCAACCAAATATGTTCGTATGTTTGATTGTACATAGTCTTTGATACTCCCTCCGTCCCAATAAAATACACTGCATTTCCTTTTTCTTTTGACCCAAATATATAGGCATGTTTCTGCATGTTTCCTAATGTGAAATATTTTGTTGTGTTCCTTTACTGATATACCCTTTTTAAATTTTTCTCACTTAATATGCCAACTTCTTTAAATCATCAAAACACACACATTTTCCACTTCTTTGAAACAGGGAACAACTCTAATTTCTTCTTCTTCTTCTTCTTCTTCTTCTTCTTCTTCTTCTTCAAATTATTTATTAGTTTCAACAATAATTTAATTTTATATACTGAAAATTAAATATGGGTAAATTAGGAA